CAAAGGCAGACATTTCCACATATATATCCACAAATACAAAAGCACAACATATCAATCATTAGAGTGAAATGCATTTATTGCCTGTGCCAATATTTGGTTATTTTCCAGAAACGGTATTAATAGATACCAAATGTTATGGTAGTCCTTTAGTTTGCCCTTTATACTGTAGGTTATTCTTTCCAATACAGTATAATGTGCCAAATCTTTCACCCAATGATCAGTGGATGGACCTTCTGTTCTTTAGTAGAATGCTACTAAACATTTTGCAATAACTAGACAAAATGTCAATCATTTTAGTGTGATGATAAATGATAAACTTACCGAAATAAACCCAAAGCACATATTTCAGGGATCACTGGAATTGATCTTGAAATAATTGAGGAAATTTGTGTTACACTTTTTGCCAGAGTGTCTTAATCACCTCACATCCCCAGATACAGTGAAAGAATGCTCCCTTATATTTTTGGCATTTGAAACGTATATCTGGGATGTTTGGGTTAAACTTGCATTAACTGTTCAGGGGTGACATAAGTACACATTACCCAGTTGTATTGAATCAACTTAAATCTAGTATTAATTGACAAATTCTGGGCTTTAACACATATCTGGCTCTATTCTAAATCCGAAAGGTCATATTGCAAATCCATACCTCTAGCAACTCTATTGGATTCAGATGATTCTTTAGAGCTGTTAACAAATTTGCAATAAAGCAATGAAATTTGATTAGTACTAAGATCCTTATAAAACATAAGCGTTTGTAGGTCTGTTTGTAAAGGTCTAGATAGTGAATAATTTTGCTTGACATTGATATAGCTGTGAATTTGTAAGTATTTAAAAAGTGTCATTGGACTTTAAAAGGACATCAATTTAAATAAATCCCTTAAATAAATCCCCAATCTTCAAATTTTTAAATGAAAATAATTTCTACACCAGTTTTTTCAGTGTATACGTTTCCTCTATGAACTTTAATGCTCAGCACAATAATGAAAGGGCAAAGAAATTGCTTTTCAATGTCAAAATCAATGTCACCCTATCTTTCAAAATGCAATTAACATACACCTTCCTTCCCAATGATATTTAGTAGATATGGAAAGGGCAATTTAAAAGGCATATGTAATGATCTGAGAGAATGAGGAATGCATCCGCATGAAAGCAAATTTTTCCAAATATTCACTGCACTCAAGGCTTGATAAAAACACGATATAAATTAAGACATGGTTGACCTCTGGAGCACCGCAGTGAATTTGATGCACAGCTGTCAGTGACTGACATTACAATAAACTCATTAAAATCCACAATGACGGATTCATCTCATGAATGAACAGAATAAAAATATAGACTGGCACTCAAACAATGTTATTAAGCAGGCATGAGAATATAAAACAAAATACTCTAACAGATGGACGATCTAAAATGCAGTCAATGAATAAATAGGAGTAGAAATAAATATGAAAACAGTGTTTGAGTGACAGCCCTGGAGGAGTAGTAATGACTGTACATTGGCATCTTAACAAGACGGTCCAGAATCATTACTGAATCATCAGATGTGTGACTAGGATTGATGCACAAAACAAACTCCCCACCCCACCCACCTCCCAAAAAGACAACACAGCATAGAGTAACACCAAATTAACAGAGAGAGAGAGAGAAGTAAAAGACTATGTAGTTCTTTTCTAAATAAACTACAGGTGGTTACTGACCTTTCAATGAGGCTCTAGTTGACATATAAGTCTAGTCAAATGTAGATCTGCACTTGTTGATATTCATTGTTAAAATGAGAGCTCCAGCACCATTAAATTTCAGTCTTGTTTCAGGTTTATTTTTTCCCTTATAAATTTTAATGTTTATTTCAAGCAAATACAGAACACATGAAGAAAATATCACTTTACAACATATGAATGTATATTTAGAAAATTACTACTTTTTATATGCTATTAAAACTGGCAGACAGGAAGTGCCTTGTGCAAAGAAAACTTTAAATTGCTCCAACATCACTTAAAATGAACAGGACTGTAGAATCCATATACTATAATGGAAATAAACACTGGATATAATGAACGGAATACATGAAAACATTAAAACCAGTCAACAATATAAAAATATCTTTAAAAATAGCACCATTTTTCCAAGTAAACATGCAACATCTGATAATACAAGAACATTCATTCTCATTTTCAAGCAGATAAAAATACAGATCTACATTTACAGTACAATTTTGTACAGCATAGACTTATTCTACGAACAAGTCTAAGATTAATTTGTTAAGAATATTAATATGTGTGTTCTAGTTTCTGGTTTTAGCACCTGAGAAAATGTCAGTGGGTGTAACTATGTGACAACAAGGATTAAGTGAGAAATGAAAGATAATGTGGTATGCTGTTACTGACTGGACTTACTGTATGTTCATGTGTGTGTGTGTATATATATATATATATATATATAATGTATGTAGATGAATCCAGATTGGCAGGAATATTAACAGATGTTTGGCAGCTCAACAGACAAAATAAATAAACAAGAAAAACCTTAAAGATCTGATCAATATTTAAAATTTGCTTGTTCCGCTGAGGAAAAGGTGTTGACATCAACCTTTACCTTGATCTCTTGTGCATGATGGCAGTGTTGAACACTGAGGTTTAGCTTTTTTATATTGCTGATGAGTTAGAGATCCTCCATTTGCAATCAACTCTTGTCTTCAAGCTAAAACACAATTCTATAAAACATAGAATAGACAGAATTGTGAGAAAAACACAATAGAGACAGATATACACAGATGCAGTGCAAAAATCACATCTCTATCCCATCCAATTCATAATTTATTTAGAAATATGCATTAATGCACCATTTGTTACCTTCAGCCTTTTCTATTAATCAGTGCGTGTTAATGTACCGTCTTATTGTTGTAGACAGAGTTTCTCACAATCTTCCTTCTGTAAAAAGCGGTTAGCATTTCCTCCACAGCCGCTGTAGATAAAAGGTCTACAGACGTCCACCTCAGAGTTAAAGTACCAACGCAAAGTATAGCGAGAACAATTACCCTCTTCCATGGGCAAGATGCAGGAGTCTAAAAACACACATTAAGGAAAAATAATTAAATGGTTGAATGGTAATGGATAATCACCAATTCTTCTTTTGTTCCATGGAATACACTACCATTCAAAAGTTCTATCCTGAATTAATGAAATTTGAACAATATGGTGAAAGACACTGTTGAAATACACAAATGCACACAAGGCAGATTCAACTTTTAAACTTGTCATTATGGCATCTCTCTATAGTTAAAAGTGCAACAGAGATCTGTAGAAATGTCCAGCTATTTTCTGTGGCGGGACAGCTGCTTGCAATCTCATACTAAGAGCTGTCATACAGATGAGTCAGCGGGTTGACAGCATGCAGAAGATACACAGAGAAACAACAGGAAGTGAGAACAGCAGAGAACAATAGTATGCAGCAATTACAGAGTGCAAAAATTATGATAATCCATCATCACAGAGTTTTGTTACGGGTTTGACATTTTTCCCACAGACAGCATTTTTAAGCATTTTGTTCCCAACAAAGACACGGAAAAGCAGTAAAAATGAGGAGAATAAAATAGGCACCATCAATACTTTATTCCCACAATAAAGGCTCCCCAGCATACTCATGCGTAAAGATGACTCGATGGAGCCTTTAATCTCCATGATGCTTACCTTCACCTTTCACTTCAAATTTTGTCCTTTCAGCTTTTAAAGAATCAAAAGAGACGGTTTGACCTGCCAAAATGTCCATATATTATACTACATCTGCACACGCAGCTACAAACAAACTGGTTTTCTACTGGAAAAAATGTAGCATACCCTGGCTTTTATTGACAGTGGTGTCATAGTCAGCAATCTCCACCATTGGAGCATCATCATCATAGGTCTCTATAGAGTAAATGTGCTCGTAGTCTGGATCATTTGTGTTCATCACAACACGCAG